TGTCTCTCTGTCTCTCTGTCTGTCTGTCTGCCTGCCTGCCTGGCTGGCTGGCTGTCTGGCTGTCTCTCTGTCTCTCTGCCTGCCTGTCTGCCTGTCTGCCTGTCTGCCTGTCTGCCTGTCTGCCTGTCTGCCTGTCTGCCTGTCTGCCTGTCTGCCTGTCTCCCTTTCTGCCTGTCTGCCTGTCTGCCTGTCTGCCTGTCTGCCTGTCTGCCTGGCTGTCTGTCTGTCTGCCTGTCTGCCTGTCTGCCTGTCTGCCTGTCTGCCTGTCTGCCTGTCTGCCTGTCTGCCTGTCTGCCTGTCTGCCTGTCTGCCTGTCTGTCTGTCTATCTGTCTGTCTGTCTGTCTGCCTGTCGTCTTGCGGTCTATCCATCAATCGAGCTATCTATCTGCTCATCCAGCCATCCATTCTATCCATTTAAGTACCGAAGCATTTCACCCATCCATCTATCTAGTTCTTCATCTTTCCATCTAGACAGTTCGACAGCAAGCAGGAAACATTTGCACAGACAAGACACAGAGCGAACAGACCCTTGGTTTCAGTTGTGGTGTAACTTACAAAACTTAAAAATGTGGGACATCGCTCTAGCACGATCCTTGGGTGCACACAACTCGACCTTTTTCCCGAATGCGTAGCAAGGGTTCCCGTTTCAGTCTGGGGGTCTGGGGGTTGAGGGTGTGTTCGCTCGACGTTGCCCAACCGTTCGCAACCGTTCGCAACCGTCCGCAACCGTTCGCAACCGCGCGAGGTGGCTATGGCCGTGCCTATGGTAAGTTCTGCGAAAGGCGTCGCTACTTTTGGAGGTTTCAAACGTCGTGTTGCTTCGTTTCGCGCGGCAGGCGTGGCACTTCGTGACATTCAGACGTGTTTTGTAACGTGTCGAAAGTCGTTTTGTGTGCCAGGCGCAATACTTTCGCGTCCTTTTCACAAGATGAGTTGCAGTTTTCGTGGCAGGCGCAGCGTTTTGGAGATCTCTGTCGTCATTTTGTGTGGCAAGCAGCACTTCAGACGTGTCCCATTGCCTGCTCTACACTCCACACTCTGCACTCCACACTCCACCTTTACACTTCCCACTCCACACTTTACATTCCACACTTTACACTCTACACTCCACACTCTACACTTTACACTCCACACTTTACACTTTACACTCCACGCTCCACACTTTACACTCCTCACTCCACATTCCACACTTTACACTCCACACTTTACACTCCACACTCCGGACTCTACACTCCACACTTCACACTCCACACTCTACACTTTGCACTCCACACTTTACACCCCACACTCCACGCACCATACTCCGCACTCCTTACTTTACACTCCACACTCCACACTCCACACCCTACACTTTACACTCCACACTCCGCACTCTACACTTTACACTCTACACTCCACACTATACACTTTACACACTTTACACTTTACACTTTATAGTCCGCTCTCTGCACTCCACACTCTACACTCCACACTCCACACTTCACACTCCACACTCTACACATTACACTCCACACTTTGCACTCTGCACTCCACACTTCACACACGACACTCCACGCTCCTTACTCCACACTCCACAGTTTACACTCCACACTTTACACTCCACACTCTACACTTTACAATCTACACTTCACATTCTACAATTTACACTCCACACTTTACACTTTACACTCCACACTTTACACTTTACACTCCGCACTCAACACTTTACACTCCACACTCTACACTTTACACTCTACACTCTACACTGCACACTCTGCACTTCACACTTTACACCCTACACTTAACACGTCACACTCTACACTTTACACTGTACGCGCTACTCTCCACACTTTACACTGTACACTCAACACTCTACACTCCACACTCTACATTTTACACTCCACACTCCACACTCTACACTCTACACTCTACACTTTACACGTCACACTCTACACTCCACACTCTACACTCCACACTCCACACTTTACACTCTACACTTTACACGTCACACTCTACACTCCACACTTGACACTCCACACTTTACACTCCACACTCTCCACTCTCCACACTCACACTTTACACTTTACACTCTACACTCCACACTTTACACTTTACACTCCGCACTCTACACTGCACACTTTAAACTTCACACTGCACGATTTACACTCTACCCTCTACACTTTACACGTCACACTCTACACTCCACACGCCACACTCCACACTTTACACTTTACTTTGCACACTCTACACTTTACACTCCACACTCCGCATTCCCCACTTCACACTCTACACACTACATTCCCCCTTTCAACACTCCATTGTCTTCACGCGCCGCGCTTTGAACTCTACCCTCTTCCGGATCCCACAGTCTACAGTGCACTGGTACGGTAACAGGGGAAAAATGTACAACACTGTTCAAATCACTTGTTTCACAAAAGTGTTTTACGTGACTGCATTCGGGTTCGTGGGCCGCATCTTGTTTACCTTGTGTTTGCAGTGGTAGTGGTAGTGGTAGTTGTAGTTGTCTATCTATCTGTCTGTCTACCTGCAAGATTGAAAACGCAGCAATTCTGCGAGAGCTCCTCAATTTTGAGCTTGACAACGTCAAAAACGAAACAATTCTGCGAGACTTCCTCAATTCTTGAACTTGACAACATCAAAAACGAAACGGTTCTGCGAGACTTCTTCAATTTTTGAACTTGACAACATCAAAAACGAAGCAATTCTGCGAGACTTCCTTCAAAAATGGAAAGTTGAGTGCAGAGCTGTCGGCCTCGTGCCAATGAGTTTTGCGATTTTGCCACAAACCTGACGATCTCATGCTCCAAAATGCAACCTCTCTCAGGAAATCTCTGCCCTGATCTGTGTGTCTTGTACTGCGCCTGCCACGCCAAATGCATCTTTCCAGATCCTCTTGAAATGTCCCACGCCTGCCATCGTTTTTGAATGCTACAAAACCCTCACGTTTTGCTCACTTTTGAGAAGGTGCACAATCCCTTGCGCCTGCCACGCAAAACGACATCTGAACGTCCAAAAGTGCCCCATGCGCCTCAGTTTTTTGCCCTTTTGACTTCGGAATGTGCTTCGCGCCACAACGGCGCGCGCTTTTTCGACATCTCAACTTCCAAAAGTGGTCCGGAGCTGGTGTGTTTTGTACGTTTTGACTTTGAAATGTGCTTTGTGCCACAACGGCCTGCACTTTTTCGACATCTCAATCTAAAAGTGCTCCGAAGCTGAAGTGTTTTGTACTGTTTTGTACATTTTGGCTTCCAAGTGTGCTTCGCGCCACAACGGCGTGCACTTTTTCGACATCTCAACTTCCAAAAGTGGTCCGACGTTGGTGTGTTTTGTGCATTTTGACTTGGAAATGTGCTTCGCGCCACAACAGCGCGCAATTTTTCATCTCTCATATGACCACATGGCTCCGCACCCGCCGCTTTAGCGAGCCTACTTTTCGACCCTCCGGAGCCACAAATCATTGGAAAAACACAGTGTTTCGCGACTTTCCTACCTTTTCGCGCACCTGCATCTTCTTTCTTCTCACTCTTTCTCTTCTCTGATCTTCTCTCTTCTGCTCCTCCCCTCTGACTCTTGCCACCTCTGCTTTTCCATCTGTCCATATTGTCGGAAGTTTGACTTCTAAACTTCCTTCGAAATATATCATATACATATCACATCACAGCAGTTACGTGGCTTTGTTTACGTGCATCACTAGGAACATTTGAATTGCTAGTCCCATGTAGACCCATACTATGATCAAACAAACATCAATAAGACCGACAATAGGAATTTGTCCCAGAAACCAACAAATAATACTATTTAATTATTTGATTTTATTTGTAATAATGCTGATAATAAACATAAACACAAAAATAGCATAATAGCATAATAACAAATAAACATATAATACTGATAGTCATAAAAATAGTAAATAACATCAAATAAGACTATATAATAAGTAGTAAACATATCAATAGCCAATCTCACTGCCAACATTTCCCTTCTCAGCACATCTCAGCACGCAGAGCTTTTTCCAGGTCGACCGGCGGTGGTCACGGTCTGTGACAGGCCGCAATGGCTTCCAAGGTCTGGCCGTGGATGGTGCCGTTGGACGCCAAGAGCTCCCGAACGCCCACGGTCCGACCCAAGGAGAAGCACAAGGGTCGGCCCTCCGAATCGCTCACCTGGCGCTCCAAGCGATTGGCAAAACCTGCGCCTAAAACCTGCACCTATTACTATTTTACATGGTTAGTGGTTATTCCCCACATCTTTGTGTGGGGCTCTGGTTTTTCCATGTTGTTTTGTTGTTTTGTTGTTTTCACATGTTTTCACTGCATCCTGTCTCAATAATCGAAGCAAAGAAATAAAAGTCAAGGAATGCAGCACAGGCTATAAAGCGCTCCGGGGCACATTCGTGGGAGTCCTCTGGAAATAGCTATCGTTGCGTCATGGTTTCCGTTGTTGGTCACCATGGTCCCTGACAATTTTGAAGTGTGTACTGGTAAGTAGCTGAAGATGAGAGCAGGCTTAAGCTACCTGTAGCATTCTCTTGCGCTCATTTATGTGACTGGCTCCGGTGTAGGACTGGCATATCTTTCAAAATCTGGAAATCAAACGAATTCAATAAGTACAGTAGCTGCAGCATCGAAATCAAAAGGCCGATCCTCAAGTTACAGTTTTTGGCATTTGGGGTTTTACATGAGTTCACGAGACCATAATGATCAAAGGCGGATGTTGAAAACGAATCTGGCCGCTCCACAGAGGACCCTGGCAGTTTAGCCTATTGCTGCCATGACAATGCATGGTACATGACGCAAGTATCATAACCTATCATAGGTGCGCAAAGGTCGCAGAACATGCCCGAGACATACTGGAAGAAAAGGCGTCCAGCACCTACTATCCAACCATTCACACAGATCATTTCAGTTCGATGAAAGGTTGTGTACGCCTGCAAGACGGCTCTTCAAGGAAACTCACAAGACTAGTCCTTGTGCCCTGCCGAAATGCAGCACCCCCCAGTTGCCACGCGCCTGACCACCAGCTTCTTCCACAACAAGGGTACCAGGAGCGATGTCCCAAATCTTCTGCTCACGGTCAGACAACCTCAAATAGAGACTCGCTTGTCCACGTGCCACCACTCCAAACTTGCATTGGCTGTCCATACCTGGTTGGTGCCAGAGATGGGGTTGATTGCATGTGATTTCCCTGTCTTATGTGAGGTTGCGAGGTCAAGAGATCTGGACGCAAATGGACGCAAGGAGGTTTGTGAGCATGCAAAGCTAAAGTAGCGAATTTGAGGCTATTTGAAAATCGCGTGTGTTGCAAGACCATGTCTCTTCAAATTCTTCAATGAGTTTCTGATGTGGTTTGATCAGCAGTGCCCAGACACGAAGTGGTGGCTGCAACTTCAAACGCTCAGCGATTTGTGAGTGCGCTCCGTGGCTAGAATGGGCTGATTCGTAAGACTCAACGTACCTAGACACAACGCACAGAGCTGAGGACCATTGAAGACTGATGATCTCATGAAGCGAACATGTTTCAATATTCTTCAAGGCCAACCAGTTCGAGACAAATCATGTCTATGTAGCATATATACATAACATATATTTTAACACATACATTTTGGGATAATCTCCCCTAAAAAAATAACATAACATGTCTTTTGACAACTATGTGGATATCCTGCGTACTATGCCGGTATTGGTGGTTCCCAGATTTTCTGACTTCCCGCTTTGGCTCTTTTAATCCCCAACATCTGGTGGCTGTACAAGATCCACACAGAAATGGTTGTATCACATTCCCCGTTCCAAACCCACTTTGTGTTGGTCAAGACATATCACCTGTTTGAATTGATGACATAATATCCAATGTAATGTTTGCTACGTATGACAGTTGAATTCACTCCTTGAATTTTTATACGCAGTTGATGAAGTCCCCAAGATATCCCATCTAATCCCTACCTCTTTTTACTAAACGTACCCCAAATACTAAAAACTAGGGTGCGCGTCAAATTTTGGTAAATTTCAGCTTGGTCAATTTGATTTTTAACTGATACCCTTTTGAAAACAAATTAAAAAAGAAAGTCCCATTTGAGGGTTTCACCCTGCAATAAAAAAAACTAGTCAGCTCCAGGGTGTTTTTTTGATGAGGGTCAGTCTTTTGAGATCGAAAAACACTTTTTATATGAAGTACTAATGCTTTTAATTCAATGTTGGGGGGAAGCTTCGAAATCCATTTTTTGGCAATATTCTAACTAGATTTCAAAAGGAAACTTAATCGACTTTGAAATAGAAAGTTTTAGTATTTTTTTTGGTTGGGGCTTTTAATTTTATATTAAGGGGAAGCTTCGCACCCTAATACTAAATACCCCGTAACACTAAAAACGCCTCCAGGTGTTTATTATTCGGGGGAGGAGGGGGGGACGGTTTAGTAATAGGGGAAGGATGGGGAAGGGATTATTCACATTCAAGAAACAACATAGCTTTTTCAAAAAAGTTGGACATAAGTTCATGATTTTCATGGTTGATTGATGTAGATATTTAGTAAAGAATCATGGAGAAAATCATACACGGCCATGACCCGCCATGGCACGTGTTCGCTGCTTCCTGGTCCACTCGGATGGTCCGTTCTTCGCCACTTCGCAGGTCCAGCTGCGCCGCGCCAAGGCCCTTGGCCGCGTGGAAGACGCAGCCGTGGCCGCCAGCGCTGGCAACGCCCGGCCCCTCTGCCTGGACGATGGGTTGAGGGAAAGAAACTGTGAATCACCAGGTGTAACTTGCACACATCCTTTTGATTTGAAAGGGCCGGGGCAAAAGGTGGTCAAGAAATCAGAGAATTGAGCATATTGATGAGCTTGAATGAGAACAATCCAACCCAACCAACTCCTCTTGCAACAAGATTTATCAACTGCTTTGAGGGAAAGTACACTGTGTGCACCACTTAGTTTATCCCCATGCAGCTGATGAACGCCATGTGACAAAGACTATGTAGAAACTTGATAGTGGTGTGGTGCATCGCACAAATACTTCAATGCCAATGCCAGAGCAGTCTACATTTCGATTATCATGCATGCCTTTAATTTTCACCAGAGTAGATCTCAAATAGACTTAAAATCACATCTCAACACCGTCTCAGCCAGCAAGATATGTCACCATACTTAAAACATCCTTTGTGGTCTGAAATAGCTGGACCTAGTCATGACATGTCATGACCATGACCATACTCCCCCAGCCCCTTCAGCTTCACCGCACCGGCAGATTGGGACACCCCAGAGCCGACGCCATGATGGTGCCATCTTTCACCATGCAGAGGCAGATGGCATATTGCTCCTTCCGCAGGAAGCCTTTCGTGCCATCAATGGGATCCAAGACCCAGAAGCTGCCAAGTCCTGGGTGAATCTGGGGAATCCTGGGGAAATCTCCCTGCAGAAAGACGTTTGAAACAAGCCAAAGAGAACGCACGAAGGATATGGCACAAATGGCACACATCTGACATGATCTGACAAACACCATAGTATATATATATATATACATACATACATACGTACATACATACATACATACACACATACATACATACATACATACATGCATACATACATACAGACATACATACATACAAACAGACAGACAGACAGACATACATACATATATACATATATATATATACATATACATATATATATATATATATATTTCCAGCCATAAATAAATAAATAAATAAATATATATATATATATATATATCCAGCCAGAGGCAAACCTGCAATATCAAGCAAACACACACACATATATAGCTTACTATGACTATGACTGATATTTTCTCTGTCAAGGGGTTTCTGATAGGAACCAACTGTTTTTTTAGGAAACATCATGAAGCCAGTTCAGGAGACAGCCACTTGTCATCCCTTGAAAAGTGGTCTGATACCAAGAGGATCAGGTTGTAGATCGGAACACTGCCCACCGGTCCATGTTCCTGTCCTCCTTCATGTCGACCACGGTCCAAGGCTTCTATAACATCGGCCACGGACACACCGGGCAAAAACTTTTCAACGTGGCCATGGACCTTGCCGAAATGGGTTTTGGCAACCAAAAAGTTGAGACACTTCGCATGGTTGACCCAGGGGATCGCTCAGCTGACCAAAGAGATCCAAAGAGTGTAGGTATGCAATGGTGTCAAGCTAGAGCCGCGTCTACCGTTTTGACTTTTCTGCTCAGGCTATATCCAGGCTACGTTGCCACTGCCCAGATTGCCACCACACTAAACTAAAAAACATAAACAAGGCTGGCACCAGTTCTTCTGGCTCATACAACATTATAATATATTATAATACATTATATAACTCACCAATGGGTTTAGTCAGCAACACAATATATGCGGTTCTTCCATGTTCCACCAAGAGAGCAGCTGTGACACCCCTCGTTTGACAAATTTGACATGGATCCGACTTGATCATATTTGATCTACTTTGGATCCATGCTGGAATCAAGCGACCCATCCGAACCTATCTCCACACCAACACTGGACATACTGGACCACCACGTTTCCAGGGCATTCCCCCTGCCTCTGCCGCAAGGCGTTCATCGTTTCGCAGGGCCTGAGCGTCCTCCTCACCCAGCATGGGGAGGGGACACCGGGGCTCCAAGAGCAAAGTGATCAGCGCCTGACAGGCAAAATCCGCCACCGTGACCTTAGACCCGAGCGTCACTGAAGCTGTATGGAACATGGATAGAAATGGGATGAAATTGTGATTGGTGCGGATAAACAGCAAAAGAGGATCGAATCTATGATCTTCGTACCTTTTTTCCCCACCTGCCAGGTGAGGGTTGTTAGATTTTATCAGAGTTGTTCTTCTCCTCCTCGGCTAGCTCTTCTCCTCCTTCTCCTCCTCCTCTTCCTCTTCCTCCTCCTTCTCCTCCGCCTGTTTCCCCTCGACCATGTCTGCATCAACTTCCACCTCAACTTCCGCCTTGCCAACTCTTCGCCAAGCTCTTTGCCAACTTCCCAGCTCAGTGTGCACCGCTGGACCTCAACCTGGGACCTTCCCAGCTCAGTGTGCACCGCTGGACCTTAACCTGGGACCTTCCCAGCTCAGTGTGCACCGCTGGACCTCAACCTGGGACCTGCCCAGCTCAGTGTGCACCGCTGGACCTCAACCTGGGACCTTCCCAGCTCAGTGTGCGCCGCTCAACCCGGGACCTGCCCAGCTCAGTGTGTACCGCTGGACCTCAACGGCCAGATAGAATGCCAGAAGATATGCCAGGTAGAATGCCAGAAGATATGCCAGATAGAATGCCAGATAGAATGCCAGAAGATATGTCTGATAGAATGCCAGAAGATTTGCCAGTAACAAAATGTATAAATGTCATGGTGGGGATCACACGAAGTAAAGTAATTGATGCTTTTCATTCACTGAACTGGAAATAAGGAGTGGAAGCTGAATGCCCCATATGGTGGATATCGATTCATACGACACAATATGACCAACTTGAAGGGGGAAAAACTGCTCGGACTTGGGCAATTCCTTTTCTCGAATAGTTGCACATAAAAACTAATCATGTCGCAAGGGCGGCTAATGTGGGCGCAAGACGCATTGATCATCTGATTGAATTCTGAGGGCACTGCTGGAGAGAAATCATCCTTGGATAGCACCGAAGTCGCCTCGTCCTTTATAAGGCTCTGCTGCAAATCCGAGGTCAGCGCGCATGCCTGACCGGGTCGGCCCCGCCAGGCCCTTCAAAGCCGCCCCGTCGTGGGCCACCACGCAACACAAATCCGAGCTCGTCTATGAGTCTAGTGGGATCTACTGCAACAACGCGGATGACTTTAGATGAATTGAGATGAAATGATTGAGAGAATTCAAAGCAAATACCAGTTGGGATCTTTTACAATTGTTGCATCTATAGTAATCTATTCACCATATTTTCCAAGCCACTTCAAGCCAAACTGATTTCAATTTCTACCCGGGCAGTACCTTCACAACCACATCTCGAACCAGAAGCCGCAATTCCGGCAGTTCCATGGCGGCCATGGCATGGCAGTTCCGTGCTGGAAATGTTGCTCAAAAGAAATGGTTGGGTGGCTTGGACATGTCTGAAATCCATATTAAAAAAACAACATGGAAAAATTGGTATATCTATTATTATATGGACACATATGGGCTATATACTGGTATATTCATGGATTTGGCTTCCAACATGATCCAACAACCCAACAATGGTTTCTCGATGTTTCTTGTGTGAATGTTTGAACTACTAGTGCAGCTAGAACCTGTCCTTTTCGGAAACCATTCAATCATTCTATTGCATTCCAGAGCATTCCAGAGGCCATGGCTGTGATACAAACAGATTCAGTGGCCGGACTTGAAAGATTGATCTCAGGGTCATAACTTGATCATCTTCATTGGATTCCAAAGGTTTCATCCTGTTTCATCATGTTTCATCAGTGTCTTTCATCCATTTCCATCATGTTTCATCAACATATTTCTGCTCCAACCAACGGATCAACATGGATCAACTGTATGGGGGTACCCCCCAAATCACCTAAATTTGCGTATGATATCATCAGTATTCATCAATATGATTAACAGGAAAACCATGGAAAACCTATGGTTTGGGGAACCATGTAGCCGCCTCCATCGGCTTAGCTGCCGCAGGCGATGTGGCACCGCGACCGGCTCGGCGGTGATCCAGGGCAATCTCAACATCTCCCCGTGCAAAGCGATTAAAAAAAACGAATCAAATGTGAGTTTGTATAGATTTGTCTGGTGAGTCTTGAAAGACTCTGTTGTGATCTTCCAAATTTTCGAATGTTAAGCTTGTTTGCGAAAAAAAAACACGCACAAACAGCTCCCCACGGTCTACCAGTCGAGTTGATTCATTGTCCAACTGGAGCTCCGCCCACTGCAGTTTTTCCTTTGGTTCAAGGCAAGGCACTGGAACAGAAAGGTGTTGACAAGTCGTCATCTAGGATTATATAGAAAGCATAGCTGTTCAGCTGATTTGAAGTTTCCCATAGTTTCCCTTTTTTGGACAAGCCGGAACGTCAAATGAACGTGATTTTATTCTGAAACATGTTCGCTCAGAAAGCCTAGAAGAAACTGCGGAAAAGCGTGTTCGAGTTGTCACCCAATCTGAAGCTGCTGTCCAAAATGGGATGCTCATGGTACCTCAAAATGCGATGCTTTATCATGTGTTGTTTAATTGTAGTAGCTATTCAAATCTTTTTTACCGGCATTCAGGTATTCGGCAGTTTGAGACAGCAATGAACCTTCTCAGAATTCTTCTGCCAAACTTATACCCGCACTTAGTGGACCCGCTCGTACTGGACTGACAAGCCAGAAGCAACTCTGACTTGGTTTTTCTCATATGCATCACCAGCATGTCAGTGACCCAATTCAGGGTGCTGCTGGGCATGGTGAGACGACAGCTGACCAAATCTGGTGATGACTTTTGGCATCCTCTGGCACTGCTGGGCTTCTTTCCAATTGAATAATTATCACGAAATATCTAGGGCTGGGGATTGATTCCCAGAGCCCAAAAGAAAATCGGCAGCACATGTCATCTGCCCAGTTCGCGTGCTGTCTTGGAACCTTCCTACATTGAGGCCAATCTCCAAGTTGGAAGGTGCTCTTGACTACCAAGGTGATCTAACTGGGTTTGAGGTCTGGGTTCAAGGCATACCAGGTATGATTGGTATAGGGTAGGACGGGTAGGACATAGTAAAGCTGCCCAAGGCTCTGGGTGCAGCCGATGGAACAAATTTGTGAACACCTCAGATTGAATGTAACGCAGGAAGTGTGAACATGACACTCTGTGAGGGTTTGAGTCTAGGTCACAATTTGGTATCCGTCCCACCAGCCTGGAAACTTACTTTTTTTAGAGTTGTAACTTTATTCACGACAGGAAATGGGCACCTTGACAAAAAAACATATCTTTCAATATATTAATATATATATATATACATATCATAACTCCATCCATTGCCCTCCACTAATTTCACTTCAAGCACTTGGAAACCAATGCCTCTACCTGCGCTAGGTGACAGCTCATGCTACTGCACTGAAGAAGCCTCACAAAGTAGCGCGTGAGGCAGCAACATGCTGAATTTGGATGATGAGACAGACATTTCATAGGCCCTGACTTAATTATAAAATTTCAAAAATACACTTAGAAATACTTAGAATATCTTAGAATACATGATGAACCTATCTGGACAAAAACGAGCACAAAGGCGCTTGAATCACAGACTTACCTGGTGACTTTCACAGTGGGAGCAAATCCCAGGATGTGACAGCTAGATCTTTGGCTACAAGGGCTGCATGTGAAGCTTTCAAATTCGTCAGGGTACAGCGAAGGTTTGCAACACATCAAGGGATGGAATCGGATGGAAGGGCCAATTCTCGGATTCTGGAAACGTTCCCAGCAAATGCTGGGCAAGAGTACTTGGCATGAATAGAAAAAGGCTCCGGAGTGATGCTAATCTGCCTGAACCACTGTTTCATCTTGGCGAATACAAACCGGATCAGAATCGCCTTTTTGTCAATTCATTGGATACCCCATGTATCCCCAAGAATTGGATAATTGGATGGTTTGTACTTAAAATCGACCTTTAAAACCTGCAGCCCAGTCCTGGCCTGTTGCGGCTTGAGAAATGCTATTCCTCTTTGTCCGGCCCTGAGGTGGTGTGCCCATCATGTGAAACACGACTTGGGAGTCTGCACTTTTGCATTGGATTTAGATAGCGACTCACAGATTCCATATGATATATTCCATCCATTTCTTTTTTCCGTGTATTTTTCCAGACATATGTCCATCAATCTTGTTTTTCTTTCCATCTTCTTCTGTTTCCTGCCATGCCATTATTTTTCACTTTTTACATTCCTTTTTCATCCTTTTCAATGTGCTTCCATCTCTTGCACATTTTTCTTGGGCACTCAGCCCGTGTCTCCCGTGTCTTGTGTCTATGAGCAGTCCTTTATGGCAAACATGATACAATAATCACTTCTAGGTGCCTTACAATATACCATCTGGTTATTTAACATAGCCATGGAAAATCACCATTTTTTAAAGGTAAACCATCTATAAATGGGCCATTTATACCATGGCTATGCTAAATAACCAGAGGGTATAAACCCCTGGCTCCATGATTCTGCTGCTGAAAAATCGTCGAAACCCTCCCCAGCTAAGAAGGCGACCCCTGGCGATGTTAGGTCAATGTCCGGCCGAATCTTGCCCCAACCTTAGCTCTCAACTTGGTCTCATGGTGACTCTGAACGAAGGGTAGCCTTTCATATACTTTTCATTGAACCATACCATCCATACCCACATGGAATATGTTTTGTGGGACCATCTGAGTTTTTCAAAGCTCCAGAATCTTAGTCGCAACTGCGACCACAACAGGAAACCAAATGCACGCAGCCAACCCTGAAAGGTAGGCAACAAACATTGTCGCTGCAAATCCGGCGATGCCACTTGTCACCCCTTCTCTGACTCTCAAGAAATATCATGAGAATTTTACTGTTTTGGTGACTTTATGACGTAATCTGCCTGGGAAAAAGACGTCAGATCCAGTCCAATAATACCACGACCATGCCATTGCCACCCAGTTCAACATGGGAGCTCTAATCGCTCCGACCGGACTTGGGCCCTGACCATCGCAGTTGGGACACCGTCCAGTGCCCTTTTTCAACTCGGCCATCATGTTCTGCTTGAATCCATAACAACCATCACAACCTGCACCACGAGCCCGCACTTGTGGTTCTGGCAAACACCTGTTCCAACTGCAGCCTTGATTTGCAAAGATCAAGTTTGTCTCCTGCTTTTACCCAACATTGAGGATGGGATGGCAAACAAGGACTTACGGTCCGATGTCTACCTCATGGGGAAGAAATACGTTCAACACTAGCCATGCCAGAGATTGTCAAAGGGAACTTTTGCTTGAAGGGATTATTCAAACATATCCAAAACATGATTGAAAATGAGCAGGCTAAGGGCTTGGAAATTGGAGCATTCATCCTGTCAGCGTCACCAACTCAAGCATGACCTTGCGCCCGACGGCCGTAGCCCTTGTTGTTGTAGCGGTCCACCATTGCCTCGGAGCATCTCGGAGGGCCAAGTGATTCATCCATGGCAATGGCATCAACGGTTGTATTTCTCAACAAATTCTTGGGATATGTTGGGATGCCATAGCAATACCGGCCAACGGATGCCCTTCTGAAATGTGTCCACTGCTAACATCACTATCGAGACATCAGGAAATCATCTGTGTGTCAAGTGAACCCAAATAGATACCCTATCCCATCCCATGATACTGGTTGGCTAGTAAGTCTTCCTATTGTGGGCTCCAAGGTGTTCTAATGATCTCCAGCCAAGTGGTATAATCCCCTATATTAAACCATCCACAGAGGAATTATCAATGGTTCGAATGGATCTGCACACGTTACATTGCACTCGACCCAAATGAACCAACTTTGCCATGGCATGCCATGGCATGCCATGGCACTGTAAAGATCCAAACCCCTTATGGCCATGAAAAACGGGCTTCCCAACAGCCAGGAACAGAGTGGAGTTGGTGCCGCTTCCCGAGCAGCCGATGCACTTCCCAGAAGCTGAGCGTGGCGCTGCAGGTTACACCGTTTTAGATAAGATCGACTCTGATAGGAAAACCATGGACAAGCCAATTTGTTGAGTACCAACTTTTGAGTTTCAAGATTCAAGCGTGTGCCAAATGGAACCCATCCCATACAACCTCCACTGCCCCACTGCTGCAGTGGGAAGAACCTTGCAAAAATAAAGGATCTTGCAGATCTTTTGGAACTGCGAAAACATAAAACGCACTTAAGTACGGAAAAAATTTGCTCATCTGGCATGATCTTCAGTCAAGTGCGATGAATTTTGACCAGTCAGATCCCTGGAGTTTTTTTTTTCTCCGGTTGAAACTCTCCAAATGGTTGATTCAAAGGATGCTGATCAGCCTCAAGTTTTTCTGTCTTTATAAACCGAAGCTGGAGAAGGCTTATGA